TGATTATTGTTGAGATGTTATGGAAAGTATATTTTTGACTAAATAATTGGATTTGATTTCCTTGTGTTTTGAAAGATTTTTGTTTAATTTGGTTTCAAATGTCAGATCTAGGTTTTCCCAAAGTTGGTAGGTGACTATATTTGCGGCGGCTGTGAGCGTGGGTTGCTAGGGTTGGTGGCGGCTGCGTTCGCTGCTAGGGTTTGCGACGGCTTGGTGGCTAGGGTTTCGTAGTAAAGTATAGTACACCGTAGTATACTATACTACACCGTAGTATACCATAGTACTTCACTACACTATAGTATACTGCAGTACATTGTAATATACCATAGTATACTATAGAGAAAAATATGTAAATTGAAATTAAAAAAAAAAATAGCACGTTATTTTTAATTGTAATTCTCAATATTAAGTAGAAAAAAAAGGATAAAAATAAAGAAATTTTTATAATAGTGTATAAAATGCTAAAATAAATAAAGAAACAAAGGAAGACAAAACGATATTCTAAAGAAAAAAAAATTAGATAGAAATATGAAAATATTAAAAGAATAATAAATTAAATGACAAATGCAGTTTGGAATTTACTTAATGAATATTTCGAATTTGTGAGTGGAGGGGCATTTTTGGAATGAATTTTATAAATTATGTGAAACAAATGTTTAGTTAGACTTGTCATTTAGTTCAAATAAGGTTTGTCACCAGAGAGACCTATATCCTAAGGCCCCTTTTTTTAATGACTCAAAATCAAACCAAAGAGCGATGAACCCGTAAACTATGACAAACCCCTCGCCCTAAATACCATTCGGACAATATATATAGCTCATCTGCAAAGAATTAAGCTAATAGGCTAATTTCACTAGTCTAAACCTACAAGTCCATTAAGGTATTTAACTCAATTAAATAGATTCTACCACTAATTAACTATAAACAAGACACATGGCTCATTGTTAAAGGTACGTTCTATTGTTTATGCATGAATTGTCTAAAATTCTATTGTGCTATCTAACACCTACTTGCGCAAATATTGACTTAAGCGTTGGATGATTTTTCGCCGAATCAACCCCCGCTTAAGTCACTTGTGCTCACCCTTTCTAGTTTGAGAAAGCGTTATTGCCACGTGGCGATGACTTCGACCTAGATCAACTACTCGCGTGTAGTGACCTACCCCATGTGTTCCCCCATTTTATCTACCCAAGGTGAGTGATACAATATCAATTTTTTATGTTCAAAATTAAAACATAATTTAACATTACTTTTACGTTATGAAAAAAATAGATGAAAATCATACATAAATTGTAATTGGTGACTACAAATTACAATTTAAATTTTAAATAAGATTTAACGGTTTTTTACCATTGTATAAACAAACTGACAGTAATTTAGAGAAATATGTCAAGAGTATATTAATGAATATTGACATTTATTTATATGTTGAACATTTAACAATTGAGTAATTGGACTTTTACAAAATACAAAATGAAAAATCTAGTAGTCCTTATTGCTAATGAAATTATCCAAGGGGTTGCTATAATTATCCCTTATTTTCCTATCAATGTTTTTTCATGCCCTCTCAACTCATACACAATGCGAATGATTCTAACAAAATTTACCGTACATTAAACAAGGTCCAATTAACTAATTAGTCGCTGACTAATTTTACCAACCAAATGAGTCCTAACAAATATACCACCCAAGAAGTAGAACCATACAAAGTTTTCCTACAAAGAAACAACATAGTGAAAACAAAAGCCACACAAAAACTATGCAAGAATGTGAACCACCAGTTGGAGATATTAGTATAACTACATAAGGTAAGATTCACAAAAAACTTGAGGCAAAAAAAAGATAATAAAAATAGATTCTGGTGGCCACACGGCAACCCAATCAGCCAATCAGATGTCCACACTCCTATCCTTACAAGATAAGCCCAACACCCCCTCAATGCATTAAACATATACTTCTCACACATCAAACACACACATCAAACACACCACAAACACACACATCAAACACTTGCAGAAAAACACTCCAACAATGGCTTCCGCCTGTGCTTCATCAGCCATCGCCGCTGTCGTCGCCGTTTCTTCCCCAAGGAAAGTTTATCTCTCTAGTTACCCTCTCCGTACCTATACATGCGCATATACAGTTAAACATCTATAATTAATACAGTCGGGACTAGCAAAATTCGATTAATTTAGCCAAGTATTAAACTAAAAAATTAAAAAAATAAGCACGTTGTCACCGAGTCTAACCTGAAGAAATTATTATTTAAGTGAGGTTCGACACTATATGATATGTCTATGTATGCATATACCCTTTTGAAGATCACACACACACATACACACACTAGTGATCAAGAATCGGTCACGGTTACGTATTATTATTCGAATTGAATAATGCTAAGATGAAAATTATTTTGTACTTCAATTTAAAATGGTGCAGTTCACAAAAGAATGGAGCGATTGTGGGAGCAACAAAGGCTTCTTTCTTTGGAGGAAGAAAATTGAGAGTGAGTAAGTTTGCAGCACCTTCCAACACAAGATCGGTTGCCGTGTGCGTTGCGGCCGATCCAGATAGACCTATCTGGTTCCCCGGTAGCACCCCTCCCGAATGGCTCGACGGCAGGTAATTTCAATACATACCAACAAATTTTTTTTTTTTAAATTTTTTTTACTTTAAATAGTTTATCAAAAAATGCTTCGAAATGCGTCTAATCTTCGTAATCACTCAATTTTGCAGCCTCCCCGGAGATTTCGGATTCGACCCTCTTGGCCTAGGTAAGTCCTCAAACATCACTTAAAACGCTCTAAGGCCTCGTTTGGTTCTAAATCAAGAACATAGATCATTTTTTTTCGTAATTGTTGGTTGGAACGAAACATCAAATTATAGTAGTTAGTTAATTAATCGAACCACCTTACTATTATTGGAGGTATTAATATTAAATAACATATTTCACTAATAACTTAAGCTTATTAGTTAGAAAAAAGCTATATTTTACCTTTCCATTGTGTCAACAATGGTTGGAGATGCGCTAACCAAACGAGGCCTTAGTGTTGTCGGTTATGAACACACTCATTAAGTAATTCAAAACCTAAAAAACATGTAACAATTGGGTTTATATTATGCTACACCGGATAGATCTTTAACATTCATATACACACAAAAACACACATACCCATGTTGGTGTGTGTAGATCATCAGTTAAGAATCACCCGGTGTAACCTTTCACCGAGTGTAGAATAGAATTAACCTAACAGCTGTTTTATTATATATAATAAATATAGGATCCGACCCGGATAGCTTGAAATGGAACGCGCAGGCGGAGCTAGTGCACTGCAGGTGGGCCATGCTAGGCGCCGCCGGAATCTTCATCCCCGAATTCCTCACCAAAATCGGAATCCTCAACACTCCTTCATGGTACACGGCCGGCGAACAAGAGTACTTCACCGACACAACAACACTCTTCATCGTCGAGCTCGTTCTAATCGGGTGGGCCGAGGGTAGAAGATGGGCCGACATCATCAAGCCCGGAAGTGTGAACACCGACCCCATTTTCCCCAACAACAAGCTCACGGGTACCGACGTTGGCTACCCGGGCGGGCTTTGGTTCGACCCCCTTGGATATGGATCCGGGTCGCCCGCGAAAATCAAGGAGATCAGGACTAAGGAGATCAAGAACGGGAGACTTGCCATGCTGGCGGTGATGGGTGCGTGGTTCCAGCACATCTACACCGGAACGGGCCCCATTGATAACCTATTTGCTCACCTTGCCGATCCCGGTCATGCCACCATTTTTTCTGTAAGTGCTAAAAAAAAAAAACAGTTTTTTCAAGAATTCGATTATAAACGGAATTATTGAAAATAACGGTTACAATTGAAATATTATTGCAGGCATTCAGCCCCAAGTGAGGGAGAATGTTGGAGAGATGCCAGCCAGCAGCCACGATTTATCTGGGAAAGGAGTCGATTTTTTTCTCAGTGTGTTTTTTTTTTCTTTTCCCCAAAAATTTAATGTTGCATTGTTAGATATGTAATGATATTATATATCTATATGTGATGTAGAAAAGAGCTTGTGCAGTGTACAAATATTTACCTTCAAGAGATCGTAAACCCCATAAAGCCCTGTTCATAAATCTCGGAATTTGCACGATCGAAGAAACTTAAAAGTCAATTTATCAATCGTAAAAGTATAACTTAAAACTACAATCACTTCAATATAAGAACATAATGAAGATATCGAATTACTATGATCAGCAAAACAGTCCGTTTTTAATAGTAAGACTACCTATCGAAATCTTTAGCAAAATTGCATATTTATAAGTGTTTTGAGTCTTCTATTTCGCTCGGATTTCAGAGAATTCTCAAGGGTTTTATTGCCTTGACTAAGCCCGAAAGGTTGCATTAAAAATGTCAAAGATTTCTATGAACATTCGAGATCCAATATAAAGCGAGATTGCATTCTCTACAAAACAGCCACGTAAATAAGCTTCAATATTTATCTTTATTCTCCCGTAAATGATTAACCGTAAGGTTTCCACTCTAGACCTTACTCTAACACACACGCGCGCGCTCGCACACACAACTCACACACACACAGAAAGACCCTTAAGACTGAGAATACACGGTTCAATTATAAAAGCGAGTATAATAGAGTACTTATTATGTGCTGATACGACGGAGAAATCAAAAGGTTATCTTAGTAAGAAGTTAGCCATGAATATTATCAACGATAATTAACTATATTTAAAAAATAAGTAAGCACTAATCGATGATAATAAATTCACTATATTTCGAAGTGACAGGGTCCAGAAAGAACCGTAATAAAGACCGACCCCGAGTGTGCCATGCTTATTGAAATGAGATGCTTAATTGTAGAGAAAAACCACGAATAAAAATCCTGAAATAAATATATTTAAACAATTCCTTTCAGAAATTTTCAGCAACCGACTCCACCGCACTGCACTTATTGTTAGCATAATGACAGCAAATTCGTTAATGATTTTAAATATATAATTAGTATAAAAAATCGAAGGGACGAAGAATGAAGCCTTGGTTTAGGACATAACAAAAGGAAGGAAGAAAGAAAGAAAAGAACACATGATGTAACTACACTTAACAAGAAACTATCTTATTACCTATGGTTATTGATTATAAAATCGAGAGACATGTTTCGATGCACTGCAACTAATGAGTAAAAGAAGGACAATACGCTTTTTTTTTTTTTTTTGAAGAATGTCCAGTGATCCAAAATGCACGTAGCAAGAGTCAAACAATTGGCTTGATTCTCCTTCTGAAATGGTTCGTACACTATAAGGCCTCGTTTGGTTGCCAAGATAAGATTAAATAATCTAATGAAGACCCAATTATTTTATCGGACCTCTGGACGTCCAACAAAAAAGCTCCGCAAAATAATGCAAGATAAGACATGATAACATAATATTTCCGGGTCGACCCGGCAAGTTATTGGGATACCAAAGTCCAATTATTTAGTTAATCACGGCTAATCTCCCCAACCAAACGAGGCCTAAGTCTATAAGACTATAACAATATTCTTGATGAACCATAAAAAAAGTGGGAAAATATGTTCTAAATATGAATTACGAAATCCAACTGGCAAGAAAAATGAATCGGCTACTTCGAGACGTGCGGACGGAAGAACTTCATTAATCCAATCATAGAATTCCTCTAATTGTTGCATAAACTTTCATTAAGTTAGTTTTAAACTTAAACAAATGCACAGCACATGATAAACCAAAACTGCAGAAAAGATAAATTAAAAAAAAAAAAAAAAAAATCAGAAAAGATATATCAATAGAAACTATCTCATTTTCATAAATTTAATCACTTTAATTACAGCGTAAAAGGGGCAAATTTCGACCAAGAATTTACCAATATTATATATATATATATATATTACATTACTACAATTCTGTTAAAACCAACAACGAACAAACAAACCCGAATATCTTCACGAAGGCTGGTTCGGGTTGCGAACGGATATCTGAACCGGAAGTGGCCGGCCGGTTCCGGTTCCGCCGCAGCTGCTGCAAGCCATCCGACCCGACCCGGAACAAGTCCGGCACCCGGAATCGCCGTCCGACCAACGGGTGCACATGCAGGTGACCCGACCCGTTCCGTTGCATCTGGGGCATCTCGGATCCCGGCCCGGACCCATCATCGAGTTCTGATCCAGCAATTGTTTGACAATAACCGCCCCGGCCAAAACGCCGAGACCCGTGGCCAACTGAGTCAACACGATCGGACCCATAATTCCGGGGTGAAGAGATTTTTTTCTTGGGGGTTGGATATGGTGAATCTCTGAAGAAAAAATCAATGGTGGGTGTGGTTTGGGGGGGGTTTATGTGAAAGTGGTGGAGGAGGAGTACACGTATGTTGGGTCGTGGTGCTTGGGTTATTTGGAGTTTTGTGAAGATTGTTCAATGTTAATTTGTATTGGATGATTTTTCTTTTTCTCTTCAATTTTGTATTTTCTTGGGTTTTATTTGCTTTGCTTGTAAAACTAGTATTTAATTAGGGCAAATTACAGTCACTCCTTGGGGAAGATCAAATTATAAAAAGACCTCTCTTGTTTGCGTAATTACTCATGCGTTCATCCTTACGCTGTTAAATTTACATAGAGGTGTTTATCCGATTTGTAAACCTACCAAACCGAACCAAACGAAAATTCAGTACATGCCGATCACTAAACCGGTAGTTCGGTTCGATATTCAGTTTTTTGTTTATATCTGTATATATCTTTTTATATGAAATGTTAGTAGTTAAACTAAAATTAATTAAAAAATTAAAAGAAAACAACAAACTTTTAAATATTTTTGATAAAATTTTGAAAATTCAATTATTTACTGAACCGTACGATGAACTGTACGAAAATTTGGCGTACCGAAATTTCGGTATGATTTTACCAAATGAACACCTCTAAATTTACCAACTGGAAGGATTTTTTCGTAAGACAATATACAGAGTTGAGGGGAGGCTGTAATTATGCAAACAAGAGGGTTTATTTTTTTCGTAATTTAACATTACCTTATGAGTTGCTGTAGTTTGCCCATATAATTATTTGATAATGAACTTATCATTTTTATTTATTTTAATTTTTTTTAATAAAATAATTTGTAGTCAACCATATATAGAAGCATGGGTCAAATTGTGTCAGCTTAGAAAGTATTCACAAAAATATTCGAACTCGAATGAATCGGCATAATATTTTCTTGCTCCTCCAAGTTAGGGCGTGACATGTTTTTTTTTTTTTTTTTTTGAAAAGCCTATTTATCTTTTATCTAACACAGCGATATATGCAAGGTCATTTTTTTTTAGTTCAAGATCTCCAACATAAAAATACTAATTTACCCATAATGAAATTCAAAACCAAATAAAAAACATAAATCATAAAAAAAAAAAAAAAAATCGGCGTTACAACGCCGATTTTGACTTGTAAAGTCGATGTTGTGTCTCCGATTTGGTTAACAAAAATCGGCATTGTGACGCCGATTTTCATGTACAAAATCGGTCTGGATAAACCGATTTGGAAAATCAACGAAAACATACAAAAAAATCAATTTCAATCTCAATTTTTTTCCCAAAATCGACTAAAGCATTGCAATCCGACAAGACTTAAGCATATATTAATGTTCATCCACGCATATTTATCAAGAATCAATGCTCGATTAATGTTTTTGAATTGACAAATAAAAGTTTAGTAAAAATAACTTGTTGGTGGTGGTGGGGTGGTGGTGATGGTGCGGTGGAGGTGGTGCGGTGGGTGGGTCTCTCGTCGTTGTCGGCGCAGTGGAAGTCTCGCTGGTCGGTGTCTCGGCGGTCTGGTGGCGGCAATTGTGAGTTTTTCCTATATTTTTTCTTTCTTTTTTTTTACTTTTTTTTTTGTCTTGAACAAATTAAAAGCAGAGTTTGTTTGTATTTGGGTATTATTTATTGACAAGGGTATATTCGTCCTGTTTGGTCTTGATGTAATAAAATTAAATTAATTTACGGGCTTGAAATAATAAACTCGTTATGTAGCTTTGAACTAATAAAAAAATGGATTTGCATTTATCCGCCGCCTTTATCTAAAGGTGTAATGGGTGGAAATAAGATGGAACGGATCGGAATTGACTTTTTCGGAGAATTTCTAATTTTTTTCGGAAGTAAAAAATGGGTTTATATTTTCGTTCCAAAAAAATCGGAATGCAAAATTCTTTCCGACTTTGGAATGCCTCAAAATCGGCAGGATTTCGGGAATATCGAAAATTACATTAATTTATAGCCTTTTGTTCCAAAATTCGGATATAATGGAAATTTCATAATATTTATCCTTTTTTTTTTTTTTGAATTTTTTGCATAAAAAAGGCAAGAAAATCCAAAAGACAGTTCGACAAAACGCAATAAATAAAAGCCAAGTAGGAACAACAAATTAAAACATATATTTTCTTATAAGGAAACATGTAACATAAAGTTTCTCATACTAATTAATCTTTTCTAATGTTTTAATTTACTTGATCTTTCGGTATTTATAATTTTCATGTCCTATAATTTCTTTACCTACTAGGTCACGTGCTCAATTGAAAACCACTACAACCGAGCCCCAATCATCTTTAGATAAGGTTTGGGCCCGACAATTACAATCAAATAACTTCAGTCCAACCAACTCTGAATAAATAAAGATTACAATTTATTTGTTAAGGTACGTTCAATATTCGAACCACACAACAGCTTGTATTCTCTCTACGACTTTTACTATCCATAAATCTAATTTGAGCATTGGAGGGGTTTCCGCCGGATCAACATGCGGCTTAGTTTACCTGTTCTCTGATCGTAGGTATCTCAAGGTCATCAAGCTAGTGAGTCAGTGATCCACTTTGCCCTTCCAGCTCATCCTACTTCAACTACTTAAGGTGATCTAATTCTAGCATCATTAATTTGGAACTAAAATCGGATCGGAAGTCAGATTTTTTGGTAATTTTATATACCATTCCAATTTCATTCCAAATAAATTCGAAATAATCGAAACTCAGAATGAAAAATACAGTTTCAAATTTGGATATTATCGGATCGGAATTGGCGGAGGTCGAAAATTCCATTCCGATTTCCACCCCTAATAATCACTTATTCCAAATTCGGATAGAGCGGGAATCGTCACAATATTTATTTATTTTTTATTTTTATTTTTTGAATTTTTGCTGGAAAATGCAAGAAAACCCAAAGAGAGTTCGACAAAATGCAATAAATAAAAACACGAATAGGACAACAAATTGAAACATATATTTTCTTATAAGGAAAAATGCAACATAAAGTTCCTGATGTCGATTAATATTTTCTAAAGTTTTAATTTACTTGACCCTTCGTTATTTGTGATCATATAAAATATAATACAAGTTATATTATAGAATTACAAAATATACCATAAAATTATATAATATATTTTGAAAAATCAGAGAAATATTCGGAATTAAAATCGGATCAAACATCAGAATTTTTGGTGATTTTATATAACATTCCGATTCATTTCTAAATAAATTGAAAAAAAAATAGAAATCGGAATGATAAATATGGTTCCAAATTCGGATATTTTCGGATCGGAATTGGTGGAATTCAAAAAATTCATTCCGATTCCCACCCCTTAAGTGCTACACTAAAAAATTGACATGTACCGAATACCGAACCAGTAATTCTATTTGGTAATCGATTTTGTTTAATTTCAAAATTTTGGTAATTATATAGTGGAATTTAATAATGTGTACTCAATGTCAATTTGATAAACATGCTAAACAGAAAATGAAAAAAAGGGGGGAAATGAAAAAAATGGAATTAAAAAAATGAAAATTTAGAAAGAATCGTAAAAAATGCACCATCGCATGTGGATAATGGGGAAATGACTAGGATCGGTAATTAAGCCGGGCTTCATCGGAACTCGATGGATCGACCCGATTATATTTAAGTCGAGCCGATTTTTTAATAATCCAGATTGAGTTTGAGTCATTTTACTAAATCCAGTTTATTATGAGCCGAGTTTGAGCCTACTATGGCTCAACCTGAATAAAGCCCGGCCGATCAAGTTAATAATAAAATATATAATATAATTATTATTTTATTCAAATGGCACAAATACAACTTACAAACCATATAAGATTATTTTATTTTACAACGAAAAAAAAGTGAAAAATAATAGGAATTAAGTGGTTGGGTGGTAATAGGTAAAATATGAATTAAATGCAATATACGCACCCAAACTCAATTGCTGAAATATCATCGAAATTTGAGAATATAAAACTTTTTCAATAATAAGATATACTGATTTTTTTTTTTTAATTTCTTTTCGTCTTGTTTCTAAGTTTTTTCAATAACTCGCAAAGATAGTTTATGGTTTATTTGCATTAGCTTCAATGAAAATAAATCTTGTTTATCATTTTTTTTTTCATTAAAAAATAAAATTAATCATTACAGTTCCATAGTAATGAGGCGAAAACATACATGAGCCGAGCTTGAGCCTATACTAATGAGACCCAATGTATGTTAGCTTGAGCCTATATAACGAATCTCGATGCAGGTATGTGAGTTTGAGCCAACCCAAACTAAAATTTACATGGCTCGGTTGTCAACCCTAGAAATGAGTAAATTTCGAGCGGTGGATAAATGAGGGGACATATCTTTTAGAGCTTATTTTATGAAAAAAAAAATTACATTTAATATTTACATACAAGATTTCGCGCACACTAACACACGTTGGCGCATACACGACACGCGCCAATGCAACCCATCCACATGGACACACACAGACGACCGAAGAAACACAAACAGTGAAACACACGCCATGAAGATACACGAACACGATGAACACGTACACAGATGAAGAAAGAAAACAAGATTAAAATATATGGTAATTTGCATCCACCTCCTCTCAACTTTGGTTTTTTACCAAGTACACCTCAAACGTTTAACCATTTAGCATATACACCCCCTCCATCCATTTTTCCGCCAGTGGTCCGTTAATTTTAAGGGTAGAGTAGGAAAATTACATGTAAATAAATTAAGAAAGAAAAATTTTAAACTTGCAAAATTAACATGTGGGATACAAATGATTTTTTAATTAATTTCTTTTAAAAGACTTTGAGTGTGTTTCTTTATAACAAATAATAATAAGTTCACAATTGCTAGTACTATAATGCTAAATTTTGAATTGTGTACGTAAAAATATAGACATTAACCAAATGTTAAATTTGATGAAAGCGCTGCATAATTGAAAAAAATAGAAATGAAATAAATAAATGAATAATAATAATAATAATAATAATAATAATAATAATAATAATAATAATAATAATAATAATAATAATAATAATAATAATAATAATAATAATAATAATA